ACGGGTTTTTTTTTTTTTTTTTTTTTTTTTTTCCTTTTGACTCTAGTAAAATAAAAAAAATGCATGCAGCAATGTGTGAAGAGACAAAGAAAGGGCAATCAAAGTGACTTGAGCACTAGTGCACTAGTAAATTCGAAAGAAGCATCCAAATGTCAGCAGTGCAAAGAGAGGGCACTCAAGTTTCGGTGCGGCAGGCCTTGTCCACCATGTGTTGGTAAAATTTCCAAATCGAGCGTGCCTCTACTTTTTCTCTGTCATGCAATCATGCACCACCAGACAAAACTCCCAAATTATCCCATTATTCACCTCAACAACGTTCCAAGCCCTTCTCCCACGTGTCCTCCACATCTCCCTCGTGCCATTTCATGCAAAAATGGCATCACCCTATGGTAGTAGGGTAACTTAGGGACTCCTTAACACCACGACTCAGTAAAAACTAAAAACCCTAAAAAGAAAAGAGTCTCAAAATAGGACCCAACTAACAACTAACTGCATGTGCCACTCCATATCACAACCACAATGCACAAAAACAACTCTTCTTCCTTGTTCTTCTTCTTTCTCACCATTCTCAATTCTTTTCTTTCTCCGACATGGGTCTCTTATCCAAACACACTCCTCGTACCCCCTCTTACTTATATCCCAGCGTTATCGCTCTCTCTCTCTTCTCCATCACCGCACTCCTCATCTACAGGGTCCTCAATTTCCCCCACCCCATCATTTTTCCACCCCTACCCACTTCCAATTTCCCCTTCCTCATTCGTTTCCTTTTGTTTTTACGTGCTTTGACTAACTTTTCCTTCTCCGGGTAATTTCGTCGAACAGGTTGACGACGTCGTTTCGCGGACCGGAACAGTAGTGGGTCACAACCTGGAACCGACGCCGTGGCACGTCTTCCCCCACAAGCCCTTCGACGAGGAGAGTCGCCAGCAGCGCACGTACAAGATCATACAGTGCTCGTACCTGACGTGCCGCAGCGGCGCTGGGGACGGCGGCGAGCGGCGGATCTACGGCAGCGACGCGGAGGAGTGCCCGGAGTTTTTCGGGGCGATCCGGAGGGACCTGGCGCCGTGGGCTCAGAGCCGGATCTCGAAGGCGCACGTGGCGGCGGCGCAGCGGTACGCGGCGTTCAGAGTGGTGATTGTTGAAGGGAAGGTGTTTGTGGATTGGTACTACGCGTGTGTGCAGAGTAGGGCGATGTTTACTTTGTGGGGGTTGTTGCAGCTTGTGAACAAGTACCCTGGGATGGTGCCTGATGTGGATTTGATGTTTGATTGCATGGATAAGCCCACTGTGAACAAGACGGAACATGCGGCGATGCCTTTGCCTCTGTTTCGCTATTGCACCACAAAGGAACACTTTGACATCCCTTTTCCTGACTGGTCCTTCTGGGGTTGGTAAGATTCTCTCTGGAGTTGTGCCAAAATGTCACCTTTCTGTAGTTGCTTTGTCATGGTCATTCAATTTTATTCATCTATATTTGCACACTTTCGTCAAGAGTAATGATATACACTTCCAATCATAGTTCCTATTTTCTGTCAAATTTTTTTAATAAAATAAATTTTTAATTTTATTATTTTACAATTTTTAACATTGGGAGTAAAAAGATTTCGGAGGATGTTCTGTTTTGTCAAATGCGACACACACTATTGAATTTAATACCTCCCTTGTTGTAGTCTTGTGGTTTTTTTTTTTTTTTTTTTTTTTTATTGGTGAAAATTACAATGACTAGCTTGAAGCTAAGATCCTGTGAAACCCTGAAGGTTCGGTGGGTCTCATTTTTATTTAACTAGTCTTATTTGTGTTTTTATGGTTCACAATAAAATTTAATCATACGAATACGTCAGGAAGTGTGTTTGGTCAACGACAATTAGGTATAAAGGAGTCAGTCATCCACAACGTCACAAACTCTAAAGTTTGAATATCTGTTGAAAGGGTTATTTCATTTAAATAAGATAACTGTAAGCAAAATAAAAACAGTTTGTTGCTAAAACTTCGAAACACTTTTTGGTTCCTTGAGATTTAAACACGTGCATTGTTATTTGTGTATTTTGGAGGCAAACTCTGAAAAGGAATGTTTTAAAAAGGAATTGGGACGGAGGACTAAGACTAATGTGAATAAACTCTGTTCATCCTGTTGTTTATTATATGATGATTGTTATCGTATTCACCCTTAATTAAATTGCTTATTGTGATTTTAATTTTTTAAGATTTACGAATTTAATATATCTTGTTTGCGTGCTTTAAAAGATAGTTTTTTTTTTCTTACGCCAGAAAGTAGTGAGAGGAGAGCTTGTTTTTTAAAAAATATAATGTCTTCTGCTATACCGAATTTCTATTTGTTTTGAAATGCAACAAGATTACTTTGGAAATAAATAATAATCGAAGATTTGGTTCTTGAGTGAGCAAAAGTGTAAAGTCAGAAAGTAAAGGTACATCTACCATTACTTTTTTATAAAACTGTTTCTAAATGAAGAAAGCAGTTCCCAAACAATGTTGTGTTAAGGTCTTGCGAGAAGTGCATGTTAGAAACTAGATAATGTTGGTGTTTGTTTTAACTTGAATCGTTTATATGCTGAACATTTGTTGCTCAGGCCAGAGATAAACATTCGATCTTGGAAGGAGGAGTTCCCAGATATCAAGAAAGGTTCTCAAGTAGTAAGTTGGAAAAAGAAGTTACCACGGGCATACTGGAAAGGAAACCCAGATGTTGCATCTCCAATTCGCACCGAGTTACTAAATTGTAATCATTCTAGGAAGTGGAAAGCACAAATTATGCGTCAGGTTTGATTAAATTGTTTTGCATAATTTGGACCTTAATCTTGTTTGGAAATTTCAATATGCTTTGCTTACCAAATTTATTATCTGATGTGTATGTCCATATGCATTGCAGGATTGGGGGGAAGCAGCTAGAAGTGGCTTTAAGCAGTCAAAACTTTCAGATCAGTGTAACTACCGGTGAGTATGAGATGGGTCACAATGCACGTTTAGAGTTTGCATATAAACTAGAAGTGTTTTTGAAAATTTCTCTATTAGAGATAAAAAAATATTTTTAAATAGAAAAACTTTTAAAGGTATTTCTAAACTTGTATTCAAACAGATTCTTAATATAAATGGATTCCTGAACAATTAATGGTTCACATTATAGAAGAGCTTGAAAAGGTTTCTTCATTTTAATAATGCTTAAAACATACACATAGAAGAACAATTTAAAAAGATATGTTGCACAAAATTTTTATGCATTCAATTTCAAAAAGTCACATTTTTACTGACTAGGATTTTTTCTTTCCACGTTGCCGATTATCGCCCGTTCCATCATCCTGCAGGTATAAGATCTATGCTGAAGGGTACGCATGGTCCGTGAGTTTGAAATACATTCTCTCATGTGGTTCTGTTGCATTAATTATATCACCTCAGTATGAAGATTTTTTCAGCCGTGGCCTTATTCCAAGCCAAAACTTTTGGCTTATTGATCCTCTAAATCTCTGTCCATCTATAAAATATGCTGTAGAATGGGGAAACCAGCACCCAGACGAGGTATTTCTTCACTCATTGTTGAATATTTCTGTCATTTAGTTTTGATCCATGAAGACCAATGCAGTGCTATACTATGCCACTCATTTTTTAAAAGAATTATTTTTCCCTCCCTTATATTTTGTCTTTACTGTAAAATTACAGCCTCTGTATAATAAAAACTTATCCTCAAGACTCTGGTAATTATAAAAGGTACAATCAATTTAAAATGTAAGATTTTGTCAATTCCAACAAATTCGTTATAGGAGACATTAGCACATGGAGGTTGAGATAAAAAAAAGCCATTGCACGTGTTTACCATTATATGTTGAGATAAATCATGCTCGTCCATTTTGTGTAGTTGATTTTTCAAATCCAAATGGTTGGAAATTGGAATGACCGTTCAATTTAACTGCCCAAAATGAATGTAGTACCGTGGTTTTCTTCTCTGAAAATTACAAAGACCATGGTTATCGGGATCCGGATTGTCTCGTGCCAGTAAAGGACATAACAGTATCATGTCATGAGAGACACAATAATATATTTGTGGACCCTACACAAATAATGAAAGATTCTTGTATAATTACTTGGTGTTTTTTCTATCATAACGTGGCATTGCCATGTTTCTTACTAACATAACATGAAATGATTCAAATCCTATTAATATTATTCTTCAGATTTACTACTGCAATTAACCATGAGTTCCCTGGTATCTTAATTAATGAACTTGTAAAATGTGTGTGAGAAACTGTACCCCAATGGATTTGATTATTTATAAAGTTGCTTTATACTGTTACAGGCAGAGGCTATAGGGAAAAGAGGGCAAGATTTTATGGAAAACTTAAGCATGGATCGAATCTATGAATACATGTTCCACCTTGTTACGGAATACTCAAAACTTCTAGATTTCAAGCCTACTCCACCAGAAACTGCTCTGGAAGTTTGTGTAGAATCTGTGCTTTGCTATGCTGATGAGAAGCAGAGGACGTTTCTCGATAAATCAACTGTGTACCCTTCAGAAAACCCTCCCTGCAATTTCAAACCTGCATAGAGTTCTCTCACCTATAGTTTACACTACACCTCAAAAATACTAAGAATGTGGAACATCCATGAACATGGAATCACAGTAAACTGGCGTGTACTAAAACGTCATTGCTGGTATCAAAAGAAAGTACACTTTATTTAATATTGTAAAAATATAGTGCATTTTAGGTTATCATTTACAAAGATTTAGCTATAGTAATAGGTTATCATCATTTAGTAGCCAACAACAACAAGGGAATTTTCATTTTCATTCTTTTGTTACTCATTTTATTTTTGTCTCCCCCTCCCTTTTCTTTTTATTTTGCATATATTTCTTAATCACAACCAAATTAAGTTAAGCCCGTCTGAGCCGATATACAATGTTGCAACCTGAGTAAAATTCTAGCCGTTATTCACATGAATGTTTGAGAGGTTCATATGATTACTATCTTTTTCATCATAGTGGAGTTTCGATTATAATATTTTTTTTAAGTGTATAATGTATGAAGCCGATATTCCCAAACCAATTAAGACCTGATAGTCCAATAGTTATAGGTCCTGTTTGGTAGCTTTTCCATTGATATTTACTAGGAAAAATGAGGAACTGCTATTGTTTTAAAAAGTGGAAAAATTAATAAAATGAGAATGTGCAGTTAACTTTATAATAGTGGAATAGTTGTAAATAAGAGTTGAGGGGTAAACGAATTTAGAAAATGTGAATACTAAACAACGCAATCTATTAATAGCCGTAGATGTAAGAGGGAAAAAATGATAAGGGGATATAAATCAAGTTTAGAAAAGAGTCATGAAAAAATATTGTAAAGTGGTCTTATAATGCCATTGAATCACAAATAATTATATATAATTAATTCGTTAATTTTCACAATAATTATTTTAAAATCATAGACTTTATCCTAACTCTCATTTATGTGTTCTAATCTTATTATGTCATTTGTGGGTAAATTGCAACTTATTATTTATTGTGATTTACTATAATTTTGGATATTTCTTTTTGAGCATTTGTGTAGTATAAATTATTTAATTGTAAAGTTTAATTTTCATGCAATATTACTATAAAAGTTTTCATATCACTAACTAATAAAAAAAATACTAATCTCATATATGATTTCCAACGTAATAAAAAAAACTTATTTTATAAATATTATTACATTTTTGTGTGACCATTGTAAAATTTTTTTTTATAAAAGTTCACAAAATTCTCTCTCTCTCTCTCACACACACACACATACATACAAATTAGTGTCACATCTATAAAATTTTTTATAAATTTTTTTTTATAAATTAAGTTATTAAATTTTTTTATCATCTATAAAATAGTACTCATCCAACATCCTACAATCTTGATATAACATTTTTATAACTAAAAATTAGTGTCACATCGTTCAGGTTGATTCTACCTTACTCAAATTCTTAACGGACTACTAATTCTTTTGCTTAACTTAAATCATTGGAAATTCAGGTCAAATCGACTCATTTTGTCTTTTTTTCTTCTTCTATTTTTATTAAATTTGTACAAAAATATATTGGGCCAAATATGTCCGGTAGGTGTTGTTGGACCTCTAAGTAACTGGCTCGTCCTTATTATTTGTCCCACCAAGCCGAACCAAACTCACTCCATTCTTTCTATAATTTTTTTTTTGAGACTAGCTAATCATAACCTGCAAGTCATTTTTGACACCTCTACAAATGATTGTCACTATTATTTTCATCAATAAAAAATATTACAACAACAATAAAAATTAAATTTGAGTTTCCACCCATCTATTCTCCAATCCTCCGCTAGGCTAAGTTTTTTTTTCTCCCACTATTTGATATTGATAAGTAAATAAGTAAATTTTGAAGTAGATTTTTTCGTGTTGAAATGCTTTAAGGGTGGAATGTGATTTGTTTTTTCAAAAAGCAACTTGCTTTTCATTTGATACTCCTATGCATCATATCAAACTTGCACGCATGATATGTAAGAGCGTTGTAAATGGGTTCATCACTACCAAAGGAGGGAGAATATGGTATGCCGTATCCATTGCATGTGTTTGAAATTGAAATTCTTAAAATTCTTGCGAAGTTCAGAATAGAATTTTCTTGAACGCCACTCAAATGCAATCACATATTTTTGAGATTGGTGCATATTCAAATTCATAATCTATATCTTATTGGAGGCATGCCATTATAAACAAGGGTGCTTTAAATAACCAAAATAATGAAAATTTGTATGAATATCACATATTTAGTTCGTAAGTTGTAACAACTAGCATCTCCTAATCTAACAAGTAATGTATCAAAGAAAGAAAGGAGCTAAAAATTAAACGTTTTTGGTCATTCAGTTGATAATGGAACCATAGTGGGGAAGTATATAAGATCAAGCAAGGAGAAGTGGAGAACTAAAGCCACAACACTTTTGACTCCACTAGCTCTTCCATTGCTATTTATCCATCTATACCAACCATTGTCTTAGATAATGCGACTCTATGTGCCTTTATCAAGAGAAGTTTACAATAGAAATATTATCACCCTACACTTTCTCTTCCATATCATTTCCATCCCAATTTTCTTAATATCTCTTCTTTTTCAATCACATTTCTTACCACTTCTATTACTTTTCTCTTTATCTTTATTTTTTTAAAGTAAAATTATACATACAATAAAAATTATACAATGTCATTTTTTTTTTATTTATAACTCTCCATTACTTCTTTTATTTTAAAGAGAAATATTATTAATAATGAAAAAAATAAACATAAAAGTCAACCAGTCTAAATTGTATAACTTTTATTATACATGTACCATTACTCTTTTTTTTTTTTTTCAATCTCTCTTATTTTCATCTCAATCAACCTTAAAATAGGATGAATAAATATCGCTAATCTTAATAATTTATGTTAATGAATATGAGTACCATACCTATATGCAATATGAATACAAGTATAAAATAATGATTTTTAAAAATTAGTGGTACATCTATGCTAATATAATTTTTTTTGAAATATTAGATAAAATACGTTTTTTGTACTTTAAATATTATGAATGTTAGTTTTACTCCCTATAAAAATTTAATATATTTTTAGTATTTACATTTATTTAAAAATACGTGTTTTAACGATAGACTAAAATCTCAAATCACTTTGATAAATATATATATATATATATATATTTTTTTTTTAAATATTTAAATTTAATTTGTTTTGATTATTTTAGAATTTATATTCTTATTTTTAGAATAAGATAATATTAATATTTAATTTTGTAT